ATTTTTTACAGTGTATGTACATGATCTGCCGGTCAGCACTGGTTGGTTGGATGCATGCAGTCGAGGTATGCATTAACTTGACACAGGCCTGCCAGCCGTCGTCACCTAATTCCTCATCCAGATCCGTTTCCCACTGCCTCTTAGCTTCTTCAAGTTAAGGTGGAGAAAGTGTCGTATAAAGCTGAACTGAATCCCCCGCTGACTGTTAAAGAAGTGAAGCTTTTCTGGATGGATGAGGATAACTGATCAAATTAGATTTTGGTAAATAAAAGCTTTTAGTGACGCGAATTTTCTCTCGATAAACAAATTACAAACAAATTTGATTGTCTTTTTTTTTTGCCTGCTGAGAAAAGTGGTCTGAGAGGAGGCTGGAGGAACGCCGTTGTTTTCCCACACAGGGTATTAGATCATATTTAAAACACTTATTTTCCCACCAGATCTTTCCTGACTAACAAACAATGGGATTTTGATAGAGAACAGATGAAGCAAAATGATGCGTATTCCATTTGTAGCCATCGCTAGTCTTGGCTTGCTGCACTCATGTGAGTCCAACGCAGAATGTTCAGTAAACTAGTCACCCATGAATAATAAAATAAAGAATAAAACTCTGGAGAGCAAAGCCAGCTAGGTTCTTATCCTTTTATTTTAGTTTTGTATGACTTTCCTCTCAAGATGAACAAAATTTGATAGTTTGAAGAAGGTTTTATTTTCATTTGTTGTATCAGAAAATGAACATTTTGGTAAAGATAAATACATTTTGGCAATGCAGTAGTTTTAATAATCTTCATTCTGCCTGCCACAGATAAGGGCACATCTGTCCATGTGACTATAGCTTGCTTACATTTTCAAAATAAAATTCCTCTTTATTCTTTTGTAAAATGAGGAGAAATTTGCACGACTCCAACTCCTGTTTGCGACCTTGAGACTCACATTGAAACTCTAAGAAACTAGACCTGTAACATTAAAGCTACAGGTCTCTTCTGATCTTATGAGATCATAAATATGAACCCTGAAACTCATTTAACTTCAACAAGTGTCAGTTTCAGTTTCTCTTCCCTGTTTGTTTCATTTGTCTCTCCGCTTAGTTTTAGTATTTTATATTAACCCTTTCAACACTAAGTAAATGTGTATTCCTTATGCACTTCAACACTAAGTACCTTTGCTTGAAAGTCATGATCAGATATGGTTTTGATTAATCACTCATAAAGTAGACGTCACATCATCACATATCTGGTATCAATCAAATGTAGACAAGTTGACGGTAAATATATGTGGAAGTTTACTCTTGTCATATACATACAGGTGTGAAAAAGAAAAGGTGAACTTCATAATTACCAGGGATATATGCAATTCATTATCAGTTCTTATATACTGCGACATCAGCCAACGTCTTGTAATTAGTTTTAGCTTATGAACATTTCGGAAACGAGGTCGCGAAAATCCAATTTTCTGGTGATTTTTGGGGGTCAAACGACATCATTTTACTTCATTTGCATAATTTATTTCATGACTGAATCACTTGTTCACATATAGGGATTCCCACTGACAGCCAGTCAACATGAGAAAGTCGCCCTATACCAGAGCCCGCTGTACCGGACTGCAGTGTTGAACGGGAGTCATAATACCAGCACGGTACAGCGGGCTACACTGTCAAAAGGGTTAAAGGGAGGTTCAACCAAATCATTTTACAGTTAAAGTACATAACAGATGCTGCACAGTTTGGTCAAGGATGTGAAAACTAGCAACATCAAATTCTGCAGTAGTTTACGTGAGTATTTCCACCATGTTTCCACAGGAAGTATTGTTTTATAGATGTTTTACGGTAAAATGACCCCTCCAAGAAACAGACAATGACAAAGACAGACAGTTTTTTATAGGGATGGCCAGGCTCAGATCATTACTCATATTGAGGTGGCACAATGTTTGATTCATTTGTTGTTTTTTTCTTCATGTTGTGGCAAATCGCTGTGGACCAAAAAGCCATTTTTGTTGGTTACTCACTTTTTTCATTGTCTATTGCCGCAAAAACTGCCATGCAAAAGGACTCATATGCTGTATGCAAAGTAATTTCTAATTGATTAAAAATCTGAACTGGTCCCTAAAGTTGTGCTTTTTAAATTGTTGCTAAGCTCATAATATAATTAAGATTTAAATTACATAAGATAAGCACATGTAAGACACTAAGCTCTCTGGTTGGTCAGAACTACTTAGCTGTAGGTGATTGAATGTGATTTTGTTGTTCAAATGAATCTGTAGAAAAACAGTTCCACTAAAAAAGTTCTGCCCGACAAAACAGTATTTACTGGATGTAAGTCCAGTTCTACGAGTATGTAAACTTAACAGACTTTGCTATTGGTTATGTGAAGTGGCCAGTCTTTAGTTCATGGTGGCCACCCTGGACCCCCCCTTAGATCTGCCCCTGCTAGAAGCATGTAAAGTATGAAAATGAGTATCTCAACACAACACTACATTGTCACATCAGCAATACACAGTGGTAGTGTGACTATCTGAAAAGGATTATTTTTACTTTTAAGTCCTTTAATTCCATTTTATGATAATACTTCTGTACTTTAACATATGTAAAGGATCCACCAGTGATGCCTGAAAGTCTGCTGGCTGCTTTTAGTAGCTGTCTTTCCAGGAACAGTAATAATAACTGTGCTAAAACAAAAATATATATCTCACAAGCTCCACTCAGTAACTTTTTTCAGATTTTAATTATCACAAAATGGCAATGGACACCTGTAACATCTAGGTGTGCAATTCATTCAAAAATGGTGGACCTTGGTGGTGACATTACTAATATTAATGTCAATCCAAGTACCTCAGAATAACAGAGAAAAACCAGAAGCTATTTCTCAAAAGCTGAATATCTAACGATTAAAATGAAAGAAAATGCACAATATATGACTACATGTAGCTGAGTGTCACTATGCACGTAAAGGTTCTTTATAAGATAGATAAAGGCTGATATTGTATGGAATCCCAAAGTGTTCAAAAATTAATAAGATGGATGTAAAACTTTTAATATAACAATGACATTGTAAAATAATAGAATCATTTAAGGCTTCTCTGAATTTTGATGCGTTTCTTTTCCCAGTTTAACCATTGTTTTGATGATTTTCAGTGTTGTTGTTTTTCTGAACGCCACTATTAAATGAAAGCAAATTATTATATTTCGTTTTTCTTAAATCATACCTTCTAATAGCAAAATTTTCTCCATTTTTAAACACCAAAAACTAATCATATAGACAGTAAAATGACACAAAACATCCTCCACACTCCCTCAGATTCACTCAAGCATAACATTGCACACAAACAACACTCACCTGTCCAGTTGAGCTGCCCTTCATCTGTGCTCCACCACGAAGCTCATGGTGGTCCCGTCAAACGAGGGCGGGGCGATGATGCGGGGCCCTTGCTGGGAGGTGATGCTGATGACCGGCTGCTTGACGCTGGAGCCGTGTGGCGGTCTGTTGGCAGTGACCTGCTGCTGTTGAACTCCGGAGGTCGCCTGGGGAGACTTTCCGGTGGCCATGTAGAAGGGACTCTCCATGTACATGCCCTCCGCCTGCTGCGAAGACGCTTTCTCCCCGCTTTCCGCCTCAGACTGCACCGACATCTGCGACTGCACCAGTGTCCGGGCGGGTATCACAGAAGGTGACATGAAGCCCGGATAGATCATGTAGGTGTGACCGTACGCCCCTGGACTGAGGGCCAGAGGTGAGATCGGCATGGGTACAGGCGTCATGGGAGGCTGCGGCATGGGCACGTCCACATATTGGCCAGTTTCTGGATCAAAGAGGCGCTTGGTGGCCGGTTGCACCGGCGTGTCCACCAGGTAGTAGTTTCCGGTGGTGGGATCCAGCAGCATCTTCCTCTGCGTGGCCTGGAAGGGGTCCAGGGTGGGAGCTGGGGTGATTGCCGGGGAGAAGCAGTAGACCTGTGGCTGATTGGCGGACATACCCAACGGCATGGAGTGGTAGATGGTAGCAGAAGGGATCTCAGGTGAACGTGTCTCCATCACAATGCTGGACCGTTTAGGGGTCTGGTTGTGGTCTTCCTGACCTCTGGTGCCAGATCTTATGTGTCCTGGAGGGGTGGTCGGGTTTGACTGGGTGGCAAACGTATACACTGATGTTTTGTCAGCAGATGGGGGCGGTTTGCTGTTACTGGGGTGAGACTTTACCGGAATGGTGAGGTAGTTCTCGTTGTCAGCTGATGCACTTGAAAACTCCTGTGCATATCTGTCCATCTCCTTCGATTCAGCTCCACTTAGCCTCGTCTGGCTGATTTTTAGCGACACAGGCAATTTGGGGGACTTAGGGACAAAACTTTTGGTGCTATAAGGCTGCTGTGTGACGGTGTTGGGCTGGGGCGTCTTTGCCGCTGCCGAGGCCTTGAGGCTGGAGCTCAGGCTGAACATGTTTTTGCTTCCTGTGGTGATCGGGGCCTGCACTGACTTAGAAACCAGCCTGTCATCACGGCTGCTGGCGGTCTGAAGGGCCTTAAAAAGATCTTTTTCCTCCCGCCTCAGCAAGCTGTCAATGCTGGGGGATGCTGCCACTGCTGGTGGGGTCCTGTCAATGTTGGGGAAGGAGTCTCTTCTGATTAGCTTCTCGAAGCTGGACCCTCTCGCTCCTCCTTCCTCCTCAGGTCCTCCATGTTCCTCACTGGCTAACAGTGACAGAACATGGCTGTCTGTCAGGGGCTGGGGCTCATTCTTCCTTTTCCATTCATTTTTTTCAAACACGTAAAGCTGCTCCATCGTTTTCACAGCAGCCTGGAGCTTTTCCAAAGCCGCCTGATTCGCCATCTTCGACTCTGGTTTCTTATCTGTAATATCTGATATTTTCTCCTGTCTCTTTGAAGCTGCTCTGCTTTCAATTCTCAACCCAATGCTTTCCTCTGAGGCACCTGTGGGTGCTTTCCCTGCTGCCCTCTGAGCGCTAACAGCGCCCTCTGGAGACGATCTGTCTGCGTCTAACGACTCCTGTCTGATTAACTCCAGATTTCCAGATTGTTTTCCATTACTGTTAGTGTTCACAGATTGACACTTTATCACTATAGGGGACACAGAGTTAGGGTTTCGATGAGGCATTTGCTTCTTTTGCTCTGTGTGGCTGTCAGACAGGGCAAAGCTGGGTTTGTTTTCGTTGTTATCCAAAGAAACAAAATGATATGAACTTTTAACCAGTTTACGAACGTCTCTGACTTGGTGGATTGGTGTCTGCAGCTTCCCCTTATTATCTCTAATGTCTCTCACCATGAAATGCGGAACTTTATCTGAACACTCACCCTTCAAAGCTGCAGCCAGCGCCTGGCATTTGAAGTCATCTGTTCTGATGAGGCTGGCTGCGTTACAGCCTAAATTAGGAGCGCGCAGTTTGGAGACGCCAAAAGGCTCCGTTTTATTGTCCCTGACGCTCCTTAAGTTAATTTTAATTTCCGGAGATTTAGATGTGGCCACGCTCCTGGAGTCTGCGACGTATAAAGTGTTGTCAGAGCGCAGTTTTATCCCGCCTCCATCTCCACATGGAGAATAATTCCTGCTCTGCAGCTGCTGTCCGACTTCTCCGTCACTGGACACCAGTTGGATACTTGGCACAAACAAATGAGACATTTTAGTGAGTTTGCTGCTGCCCGCTGAGTACCGATCCCCCTCAACCTCTTTGTCGATCGCTGAAGGCAGCTTCTCCGCCGGAGTTTTATCGTTTTTATGATCCTTTTGAAACTCTAGCTCCTCGTCCTTCCAGCATCTGAACGCGCTATTTTGGCTGCGAAGCAACGTGCTTTTGGACGCTTCCAATGCGCCTTTTTTAGTATCAATTCCAGCTTCATTCGCTTGCTCCAAATTAGTTTCTGGTGCGGGAGCGGCCGCGTCTTGTCTCCGGGAGTCGCTCTTGGTATCACATGAGCCGCTGTCCACCAAGTCCCCCAATTCATCCACGCACATTATGGCATAGTCGGAGCTGCTCTCGGAAAACTTCGAGCTCTGTCTGTGCAGCTCCCTGCTCACCTTCCCCCTGTGACCGTCGCCCTCCTGGTGCACAAAGCACGGAGAAGGCGTCGGATGCGGCTCACTTATCTCCCCTCTTTCCATCTTGCGTTCCTGCTCGAACTGCATCTTCTTGGAAATCACATTTTTGATGAGGCTCGAGGCGAATATGGCTTTCTTGTGTGTGTCTTCCATGGTTTTGCAGGGCGAATTGCTGGCCCCTCTCCTCTGGCCGCTTAGCAAACTGTTGGTAACTTCATCTGTGGAACGTGATCCTGCGGCGTTTTGTGCAAAGTTAGTGCGTCTTTCTCCCGCAGACATTCCCGATTTGACATTGCAACGAAAATTCAGAGTCTCCGTGAGCCTTATCACCCCACCGTGGCCCTGACCAAATTTCCCCATCAGCTCTATTTTCTTTGCGCTGTGGGGATTCCCATTCAGAGTGAAGATCTTGCTGGTGGGCGGTTTGATGCTTGCCAGTGCAATGCCTTTATAACCTCTATTGTCTATGTTTTTGGCTATTTCAAAAGAGGAGTTTTGATGGGAAACCACACTCTGGTCCAGTCCCTGTGACACATTCATGTTGCCATATTTCAAGTCGACAAACGTGGACCACCTGTTTATCCCTAGGCCGTGCTCTGATGCTGAGGACTCACTGGAGGTGCTGAAATTAATGGCATCAAAGTACGGATAAGCCAGGCTCTTGAAAGCTTTGGCTGTCAGGTTGCGCACCTCCTTGTCAGCGTCGTCCAGCTCGCTGACAGCGCTGGACGTACCGCTGGAATACTCGGTGACCTCTTTTCCCCTCAATTTGCCGCCAAAGTGCAAGCGTCCGGGCGCGGCTATGAAACACTTCGCCCTGTCACACAACGTCTCTGCCTTCCCATCAACTCCCCTAAACACATAGCGGCTCATGTCCCCGGAGCGCCTGGCATGATAAAGAATGTTTTCCTGTTCTTGGATGTTGCTAGGGTCATTTATAGCTCGAGAAGTGGTCCTGATTGACAGGTGGATCTGTCCCGCGCTGTTGCCACTGCACTGCTGCTGCTGCTGCTGCTGCTGGGTCTTGGACACACACTCCTCTGAGCTGGCGAACTTGGCCGAGTCGCACAGATCACTTTCAAGCAGAGTGCTGACTGTGGCTGCTGCCGCCGCCGCCGCTTCTTTCTCCCCCACCGCTCCATCAGCGTCAAAAGAAGCGTAATCGACAAATGAGTACACCTGGTTGCCGTCCTCAATGTCCCAGCTGGTGGACGAGCCCACCCCGAGGTCATAGTCCCCCTCATTGTCGGAAAGCTCCGACAGCTGGATCTCGTGTGTGGTAATGTAATGGGACTCGTCCTCCGTTACGCACGGGACGCAATCATCCGAAAGCACTAAACTAACATCATCATCCTCCTCATAGTCATCCGACTCACTTCTCCCGCTCAGATGATTATCACCACTGCGTAAATCCTCATCTGGTTCTATGTTTGTGTCTGTTTTGGACACCTGGTGCTGCGTTATTACGCGCTCCCCGTTGTCTCCCACTTTGACGCAATCCTCCTCCTTTGCGTTGGAACAAGGAGGGAATGACGGAAAACATAAATCCTTTTTGGCATCTTTTCCACATTCCTCAACTTTGGCATCTTCTTTCTTTGCCTCGGTTTTAATCTCCAACTCATTGTTCGGTTCCGGTGCGCACACAGCTCCGGCGCCACTGTTGCTAATAAGGACAGACATTTGGTTTCTCTCACCAAAGCGACCGTCTTTCTCGGGTTTTGCTCCGCCTGCCTTCAAGTCCACCAACTCCAAATCGACGTATCTCCTTTCGTCCTGCTTCTCCGGGACATCCTCCGCCGCTTTTTGGAGCAGATCTTTGACCTGCCGGCACGTCGCCGATGTCTCCACACAGCTTCGCTCAGTCTTCATAGCTGAAGTGGCAGGTTTGAGGTCACATTTGGTGCCTGTCAGAGAAGAAACGACAGAGATGGAGCCCCCCAGGATTCCTCCGTCCCTCAGGCTGAGATGGTGCTGCGCGCAAAGCTCAGTGTCCGGTCGTACAGACTCCGATGTCACCGAAGCGCTCCAGACATTCCAGCTCACCGCACATGAAGTATCTAAAAAGGACCAGAGACATTACTAACTACTGTCTCGGCCACATGGTTCTCAAGCTGAGGTTTGCGGACCAATGGGGGTTGTTGAAACTCCCCTGCACGATTGAAGTGCCAAGTTCAATGCGCATAAATACTCAATGTACATTATTACATAGAGAACAGATGCGCCACTCACCTCTCCTCTTACTATTTCAGTCAATACACCACGTGTTGTGCCTGCTTTTATAGCTGTTGTCACCTCAAAGGATCTCACATAATTTAGAAGAAAGTTTTTCCAAGCTCATCTTAGGAGCAGGGGCATGTGACATTAATTGAAGTTGCCCATGAGAAGCTGGAGCCACACATTTGCTGGCATTTGGGAGCTAGTATGGGACCAATTAAAATCTTGAAGTGGAACACAAAACCAAACAGACAAAAATGAATTTCAAGAATTATCCTGTTGTACAGCAGGTCATTAAAAACTACATAGATATGAGAGACACAGGAAAACACCTACTTACGTAACTTTTTTTTATTTTACAGGTATTGTTACTAATTATCTGAAGTGCACAGACTAATACAGGTACAGTTTAGTTAATTAGATGACCACTGTTCAAAATGGACCAGGAGGAAAGACACTACAGAGGAGAGAAGTTCCAGTTTATTTAGGAATTTAAAATTGAGAATTCTGTCCATGCATGATGATAATTTCACTATATACACCAATTTATGGTACAATAAAATGTGTTTTCATGCTTACACAGCTACCCGTTGCCATATGTATTAGTTACTTTAATGATTAGAAAGGTCAGTTTCTGCATCCATATGCACCCGTCACTGCTGCAAGTATCCTGCTGAAACACCCCAAATAAAAAGCGGTGCATCATAGTTCCTTTTACTGCAGCATCAGAGTTTCAGTGACTGAACTTGACCTATCGACCTGTTCTATCTATTGGAGGCGCTGTGAGATCTTTATGTATGGTGGAGGTCAGTAGAGGCTCAAAAAAAGTTGATGCCATAGATTTCTGCCCACAAAGTTGGAATATTTTTTGTTTTCAGACACATTCCTCTTTTGATTTCTATTTATACTTTATAGTAATCACTTTAACCAGGTGCAGTGATGACATACTGAGTCTCAGTTACCAGGCGTAATGAATTTTGACTTTATTTAGTGGGACGTCCTGCTCATTGTCTGTCAACAAGCTTGTGGACAGTATGCCACCATGTCTTAATGCACTGATCCGTGTCAGGGGTGGCCATACTTCATATTAGTGACTGGGTGACATTTGAAAGAGTGATGTTGGGCATTCTATTGCATGAAATCCCCTCAAATATGTGTTTCCTGTTTTATGACCAAGGTTGAAAAATTGAAACAAGACCCTTAATCCTATTGTTCAATGCCCCCAATTTAGTTTAAACCTGAACACACAATCTGTAGAATTGTGATTTAATTTATACTGTGATATCTATTGTATGTACATTGTGATATCAATAAAATTTTGAGAAGAGTTGCACTTTATCCATCGAGAATAAATCACATTGTCACAATCATTCAATGAGAAGAGGCAAAATAAAATTATTCCAACTTTATGGGCAACAGTGTGTAAAGTCAATAACGACCAGGCTGTTATTGAAAATGAGAACCAGTTCTCAACTACCTGGTAGAGTAAAGGTTAAATAAAATAAATAAATAAAATGATGATGAGACGCATCATGAGCCAACAAAAAGTGAGAGTCAACCTTTAATTTTTCTTCAACTTGTTGCTTATGGAGTTCCTCAGGGTTCTGTGTTAGGACCAATATTATTTACTCTGTATATGCTTCCGTTAGGCAACATTATTAGGAAGCACTGCATACATTTCCATTGCTATGCAGACGACACCCAGTTATAT